GATTATGTAATAACTTGTTGTTAACCCCTGTGAATTAACTAATCTTGAATTCTGTAATTATTTTCATTCGCCCCACAAAAAAATAATAACTTAGGTATCTTACTGCTAACACATCTACTGGTTAATCGTTTTGGTGAATTTTAACCTCTTAATTTTACCACACACACACACACCGTATTCCTAAAACCTATTAGCCAAAGTAACCAATTGATTGCTTAAAAATTTGATGTAGAAAACTACATACTGGTGTGGAGACGGTAATGAGGAACTAATTGGAGAGGAATACATTTCCTCGATCGATCTGTTGTTTTTTTTCTATTTCATAAGCATTTGTTATAGATGATACCAGGTAATGTTTTTAGGCACTGGAAACTAGACAGCAGTTTTTCTCCAACTTGTGTAACTTGCTCTTCCAGTATTCAATGGGCAAACCAGGGACTCACAGATTTGTGAACAGCAGAATTAGTTATTAAGAACACAATATTCAGCGAAGAGACTCTCACCAACAACAAGTTTATTATCAAGTTGTACAATCGTATATATATGGTTTTTTTAAAGAAATTATATCCGGTGAGGGAATTAGGTCAAAGGTGTGAATACATGAAATAATAATAGTAGTATGAAATGCAACTAAAGTATTTGTGATCATAATTATGGTTTAATATCAAGTGGCAAAATAATTATTGTCATATATAGAATAATGGATAAGGTGTATAGATTTTGGAAAGAGGTATATAATTATAAGATTAGTAGACGAATATAAAATGTTACATAACATGGTGTGAAATTTGATAAAATAGAATTCAATATTGTAAAAATAAAAAATATAAAAATTAATAATTTCGGGTTTAAAATGACAAGTGGGTCAAGTGGGAATAGTAATAATGATAATGACAATAATAATAATATTCGTAGTAATGAGGGAAAAGCACATAGAATAACTAAATAAACAAAATAAATAAATGTCTATCCCTCTACGGCCAAGGCAGAAGTAGGGATTGTACATACTTCTTTTGTACACAAAGGTCTGGCTGGCTTAAAGTCATGAGTTGCCAAGGCCTCAGCTATCTTTAGAAGTCTGTAACGAAGAAAACGCGGGAAGTTAGCATGGATTCTATATATGATCTTGAAATCATGGTCAGGGTTGACCGAGTGACAGAAGTCGATCAGTTGCACCAGAATAGAGTTTCGCACATACTTCCTTTCTCCCTTGCAAAACCAAGATGGAATATGTTCTCGTATCTGTGTGGAAAGCGTCCTCTGACTACGGCCAATGTACCTTGCTCCACAAGAGCAGGTGAACTGAAAGATGCACATGGAGGCGGTCAGACGGGGGAGCTTATCTTCTACAGAGGTAGAGAACAATTTGCGGCTCGTGAACGTCATATGTAATTTTGCTGCAAAGAACGTCTTACTGTTATACCAATGCTTTATATTCTCAACAAGTTACCAGACATCAAGATAGACAGATACAAGGAAAACACAGAAATAGGAGGAATTTAGAATCAATACAGGTTGAAACATTTTTGCATTTCCTGTGGGATGCGAAAGTCAATGAGAAATACGATGTATAAATGGAAAGTCTTGGTTGTAATGAATTCTCTGAAGTGGATATTTTGAACATAACTGACCGATTTCAGCATAGAACTTGGCAAAGAAGTGCAGCAGTTCAACTAGCCACACTCCGTGTACCACACAAACGAAGACGGAAGAGAAAAGAAAAAAAAGAGATTCGAAAGAACGATAATAAGCACAAGTTGGACAGAGAAAGATCAGCTACATGGAAAAGCATGATGGTTTAGTGCATATGCGAACACCGTGCGTCGGTGGCACAGAGGTTAGGACTCTCCCCGACCATGCACATGGCCCGGGGTTCGATCCCCTGCTGATGCATACCTGATATCCATGTTCGGCCTGCAAAATTCGGGCTACCGACATCACATGCTGAAAATTCCATACATGTACCAGAAATACGTTCTAAAATCAAGCTCTAACCCAAAAAAATAGTGAATACATCTGCACAGTAGAGAACGATTTCGAGCCATATCACCGATTGTCTCAAGCCATTGAATCTTATAATCTACAGTACCCCAAATGGTAAGTCTACATCTCGCTGCGTCAAGGACTTCATGGACTGATTTCATGTTTTTCAGCCTGATCCTATATCAGGTAACATCGTCCGTCGAGGAAAGTAATGATGAGGCATGCATGTCTTGACGATCTTAACCGATGTGGTTTCATGAGCTCATCGACTAACTTCCTCTGCTTACCTAACAATCGACCGAAGCCTAACCACAAGAGTACTCACTCTATCCTACCACCTAACATGGGACATAGAACGTAGACATCTGCGATCAAACAGAGCTAACTATTTCATGTTTTCACCTTTCAGTGGCCACATCTCATAGAAGGAGGATGGAGAAAACTGCTGAGCAGTACACACGAGATTATCGTCATTAGGATAATTACTGTAATTTAACTAATTATTCCACCGTTATAAAACCGAAGATTACAATGTTAGATATCATTCACGTTTTCAAATGGAAGGCAGACAATTTCACCAAAAGTTACTGAAACGAGAAAAATTAATACATCAGAATCACTAAGTATACATTCATTAAAAACACCGATTTTAGATAATATTGACTAGTAATGTCAATCACTGGTTTTTAGAACTCCTTTATTTATAAACGAGTCTACCTGCTTTTGATACTCTTCACACTAACAGTCAATTAATTCACAGAGGTTTGGTTTTGCCACTCGAATCCACTTTTACTCTACTTCTGCATTCAATGACAGCGTACCTAAGTACGCGTCGGCAGCGCAGCGGTTAGGACGCTCACCGACCATGCACATGGTCCGGGGTTCGATCTCCTGCCGACGCACTCCTTTACATCCCTAAGCCAGTAGTGAGACTGGTAAAGAGGAATGGTTGGGCATGAGGCTACCAACCCCATCCTGTAAAAATTAACACTGCTACAGAAACTTCAAGCCTCTAGCTTGGAGCCCTATGTTCCACTGGGAACGTATCTAAGACCACTGTCACAGCAAAATCACAACAGTTTAAATATACCACGTAAAGGATCTCAGCAAGAGACAAATGTCACTTCAAGGGTATAGCTGATTTAATATCTTCAACCTATTAATAAACTGAAATTCAGCTTATCAATGTCTTGTTGCATGCGACTTTCTGTGAGGAAACAGATATCCCACATGGGTAGACGTTAATGAATAATAATCTAGTCTTGTATTTATGAGACCTCATTGAGCACCGGATGAAGATGTCAAACACAGCCGCTACTCTGGCGTAGTGGTCATTATTGTCTGTTGTTGTGAGTAGAACAAACCTCATCTGAGGTTTTGTTATAATATAAAGGTTGGTTAAACAAAGATAGCCACTTAAAATCGTCACTCAATTACTAGGAAATTATAAAATCTAGTGACAAGGCTGTACTGATGCTCGCACCTAGGTTTAGGAAAAATAAGTTATTTCCCGAGGATAACTTCTCATGCCGTATACCTCGTCACTACTAGTGATATGACTATTAACAACAAGGCACATACATAACATTGTGGATCAAGTGCTATGATACAATGTAATTCAATGTTATTTTATCAAATAAATCTGTCACGCAATGAAATAAAGTTACCTGTACTACAATACTTTAGAGCTGGGAACATCTTCCAGTTGTTATAGTCTTCACTGAGATGCAAGTATTGACGCTCTCCAACTTACAAACTAGGTCCTAGTATTCAATTGAAAAATAAAAATTCCCTCTGATGGTGTGTACCGATGTCTACCGAGGAGTTTAGATTGGTAACTGACAAGTCAGGTAATATTTTTTCTAAGTTGGTTGTAGCCAACTGCTTACATGAACCTAAGTATCTATCAGGGTGTGTCAGTTAGCTGAATGGCACAGGCAACGCTTTACCTACTTATATAAGCCTGTTTGAGCAGAGCCACTGTCCGAGCTTAGATAGGAAAAAAACTGGTACAAACTGGCAGATTAATAGCATACGTTATGAAACTACCTATGCAAGGAAGAGAAAAAACTTAGGGGGAATCCGTTTCAATAAGCAATAAAGTAGGGTGCACGTGTTTTAAAAACAAGAGGACAATGAGTTTACTACCCAGGGCTGAATAAATCCTATCACCAGCTAGGATATGAGTTGAAAGTAGACGTGTAATCTACGGAAGCACACTGAGCACATCAAGTGTCTTTGTCTAGACGTGAATCAATACAATAAAATACAATGAGTATCTAAAGTACTTCTGATGCACTTGTCAGCAATTTGCTCGGGATTACTTCAAGACTTCACAGAGGGTTTAAGTACGAATGGGAGTAGCTTGTCCTGTTTGCAAATAAAAGCAGGATAATGGCGGTAGGCCTAAATTCTAGACTCTATTCACACGATAAATTTGATAAATACACAGTTCCAGTATGCTTCACGGTGGCATATACCGTAATGCTCTGAATTGATGAATTAAACATACATTTAAATAGACTATACAAAATATCCGTATAATTCGTAAAGACAATACTTGATATAGCATAAGGAAATAGACTTTTGAAACAATTCAAGGATTTAAAAAGACAAAGGAGTGAAAACACCTAAGTAAACAAATGCAAACCACAATGCGACAAAAAAGCGTAACCTCACAACTGAAGTGAAAATAAAGTATGAACGCACTCGTGATAGGGAGACTCATTCTAAGTTATATTACCTGATACTAACCAAAAAGCCCACACTTCCTTACGCGGCTCAGATCAACAGTTTATTCATGAATTCCTGTCACATGATTGTTTAGTCAACAACTGCTTCCTACACGTGCTAAAACAGCATGCATGTACAACATGTCTCAGCCACTTTTAGCACCACAACACTTTATCAACCACCAGTCCAACAGTTCTGATGAGACTTCAAAGCAATCAATGAATTCGATCACTTCTATTTTTTAACATTAAAATACAACTTCGTAGGAGTCCTGTAGCACCAACTAGTACTTAATAAGGACAAAGAACACGTCAGATATACTCACAATTTCATTCAGAAGAGAGTTTCGTCAGTGTTAACTTCTTGACTAGTATAACATGGCTTTATAGACGCAGTCGAAGACTATCATAACACCTCTGGATCACACACCTCGAATGTTGAGTTCAAGTTTAGAAAAATTATATGTCAGTGTACCGATCAGTACACTTGTATTCTAAAAATTATCAAAGATGAAAGAAATGATCAATGCGTCATCGCCTAAACCTATACATGTTTGGTACATTCTGGTGTTTTGGAGACTTTACATATCCTTGAGCTTTAAACGGAATATTAAGGATTCTCGTGCCGTTAGCATAACAAATGGCATATCTTAAAAATCGGGATGATTACCAATCTACATCATTATTATGAGCTTCACTGGATTCGCATATTCTAAATGGTACTCTTTTTATTCTACCTAATAATTCCTGACTAACCTTAAATACTTAACTAACCAATCCGTTAAGCCTTCTTTCCTCAACTCCACTCAGAATACACATCGTTTTCACAAATTACCTCAGAATCAGAGGACCCATATCTTTGTTGAAGCTGCATAGCGCATAACATTTAATGCAGTTTTTAGGTAGACAGCCTCCGAGTTAAACAGAAATGTAAAGATATTCTTAGAGAACGGTACTCACTGAAGACACATTGCTGCTTTATTAAGGTGATGTAGCCAACAAGCAAGTTTCCCGTTGAAAGCTCGAATCAGTATGAAGCACTCACAATGTGTGTTTTTAATTTATGCTTGTCTGTGACTAAAAATGCTTCGAGATCAATCAACTCATAAATAACCTAACAGAAAAAAAGGTTATATTTTTATTTTCCTTCTTCTCTGACTACTTCCCAATTTTACTCACTACTCTAACCTTACTTATTTCTTTGATAAGACTGTGGTATCAAATTACTTTTCCCACAGAGCTTAAGATGTTTTTTCAAAGTTTGAATATATGCTTAGATAGTTTACAACTTTACCTAATCGCCTAACGTAAAATCAGTCAATATAACCAAAAACGAGTTTAAACTCTGTACGATAGATGAAAATGTGATGCATCACAAAATCTCCCTACAAAGTAGACACTTTTCACGTCTATCAATTTATCGAGATAACAGGATCGACAGCCAAAGAACGAAGCAACTTTTTATTCAAAAGTATGCTTACAACACAGACAAACTACTCAAAGCATAGCTTTGCTCAAAACAGAGCCAATCCATGTTGCCATACTTTGTAACATCTCAAAATAAAGAAGTGAAGAGAAATAAAATGAGTCGTCAATAAGTAACCAAGAAAACGAGGTGAGGCGAAATTTTTGCACCTGATAATTCCGGGACTTGTTATGATAGGTGACACAAAATAAGAGATCTTATCAAACTTGATCTGTCACTCAAAATATACAACAGGTATGACGGAAAAATTTCAAAATATCAGAACAACTATCAAAAACCTTAAAAATGGTGAAAAATATATATTGGTATGCGAAAATTGTACAGGAAATAAATTACACTTGTCGTGAATAAGCGACACGTCATCTGCCCGAGTATCACTGAAAAAATTCTTCGTAATCAATGATAGTCAGATTAAAACGAAGCAAGTTTTGTATTACTGTATTTTGCTTGATTTGCCATGTCGAAGATTTCTGAAGACAGTCATCCTACTGCGGCCATCACGATCACCAACACCACTTTCAGCATTACTCGAGCTTTGACGACTATTTTCGACACGATTATCCAGTACGTCAGGATGAACAAGTAAGTCGTCAACATCCATTCGTAAACCACGAGCCTAAAACAAAGAATACCTTAATTTAACAAAGAGATATACAAAAGTTGGACTAAACAGACATAACGTTATTGAAACATACGTTACTATAAAATTGTTATAAATCTACATGAAAGAATTGCAACTGTGGTAACATAAAATATTCTAGCGATTCAGCAAAGAATACTCTAAACTCTGACAATTTACTTGTCTTAATAGATAAACTATGAAAAGTAATAAATAATCATAATAGTGATATCATAAACAAGTGTGTAAATTTGTGTAAAATATAATTAGGCACATGCATTGTTTGGTGCGACTTGGGTCAGATGGACTTGTAATTCCAAGATTTTAATTGGACTTTTTGCAACAATGGCTACAACCGTATCAATAAACAGACCTCTGTGCATTATAGAACTGGGTATAATTGAAAGACTATCATAATCAGACATTGGTACTGGTTGGTACTGCATACTCTGGTACTGGTTAATATACCACTCTCCACTTTTTCCTGGATATTTGGGAGTAAGCAGACATATACATACATAATACTACACCAGTAGTAAACGAGACAATTACAGTAAGCGCCGGATAGGCTTTATAATTCTGTACTAGGCGTTTGTACTAAGCCAAAAAACACAAACCGTCAATAAGTGAAATCAAATAACGTACATCTGACTTAGCTAGCTGACCTCTTAAAGCCTCTTTGATTGACAAAGAGGCTTCCGAGATCTCCTTTTGATGCATTTCTGATTGACATCGGCGATCATTAACTCCTTTTATCTCACTAGCTATATGAGCCAGTACATTTTCAACTTGATTACACCATGAATCAAGCTTCTGATGAAGTTGAGGAATCTAACAAATAAATAAAATAAAATATCATCTTTACTTCTTCAATACGTATATCACGCCCAACAGCCGAGTCGACCTCCAGTAAAGCTTTTTGCTGGTCAAGTTTGCCTGTTATTGCCTCAAGGTAAAAAAGCTCAATAATCAGATCTTCTAAATCCCTCGATGAAGTAAGACCAAGCTTTTTGAATAATAGGTCATATGGTATGCGCTTCTGGTTATGTGCCTCATCGATAATTGACAATTGTTTTAATTTTCGAATATGGGCGGGCCTTAGTTCCGGATATGCCGAATGATTGGAAGCATAAGTCTCAAATGTGCCATAGCAAAACAGATTCATCAAATCAAAATACTGAGAAAGTTCACCATTCTCAAGAGACTGAATCTTCGGATGATCGAGGAATTCGCCAAAGACGAATAAACCTCAGAAAAAACATGAACCAAGTTTATAAACATACCAGGACACTCTGTGATGGACAATATGAGTTCAGGCAACGTAGAATTATCTGCAGTTGGTAACTGACTCAAGAATGTTTCTACCTTTTCTGATGTCATATGATCAATTCGCAACTGACCTTAAACAATCGAAATCCCTCCTCTTCCAATATCCAATGTTATTTCACGAGCTAGTATAAAACAATTTGATTTCCTTGCGCTTGTCTCTTGATTGTGAGGTATAGATTCCTGATCGTCGGTAAACTTCTCCGTAGCTCGTTCCGCCACTCGACTGTGGTAGCTTTACCTGACTCCCAATGGGATGGTGCTGGGATTAATTATATGTAGTTTGTAGTATGCGGTGTGTTAAAACTGTTACTATTATGAATGGAGTTGATCCTTTCACGAGTTAGTCCTGTGGTGTCGTCGACAAAAGAAAAGAGGTGATAATAATGGATATAATTAGTGAAGTTATTCAGACAGAAAGAAAGAAAACGTAAAACAGACAGCTGATTAAATTTGAAGTTGATATATATAGATATATATATAATATCAGCAATAAAAATAACAAGTGTAAGTGTAGTAGTTAGAGCTGTCAGGAAAGTAAGACGGGAAAGGAAGTAAACAAGTAAAACGACGAAATTAGTTGTCTACATGTGGATGGTGTATGAGATTCTAAGGGTATAGGCCATTTGGACGCAATTATTGTGTCCGTGAATAATTGTCCAGTCTTCACCCAAAGATGTACATAGATGGTGCCATGACTAAATCTGCCGGTAAGGAGTTCGACGGACGCCAAACTCGCAATGAATAGAAGTGGGAGCGCACTCGATTCTTCACCCTCTGGTAAGCCACCCTCCTTGTATTTTAAAGAGAATGCCCACGCGTACTTAATGACAGAACACCTTCGTTTGGATGATTCTGGTCATCTGTGATCTTAAAGGCCGTAATCAAGTCCCAACTAAGCCGACGGCAGCTAGGTGTAAAGAGACCTAATTTCCTTAGCGGTTCATTATTTACTTAGTTTCGGAGACCAATGACCCCTTTTGCCACCCGTCTTTGGACTCTTTCCTGAAAGTTGTGCCTCTTCTAAGCACTGTGGATACAATTATACTGTGCACTTTAAGGTGTGGTCTGACGTATGTTTTGTACCACCTTAGAAACAGCTCAAGAGTGAGTGCACCTCATTGTCTATGTGTAAAGCGCTTGACCACATATGCCCTCGGAAGGTCCCACGTATAATTTACTATTTTGCCTATTTTTCCCTCGGAACTAGACCTGAGTTGTGCTCCGACGTTGTGCAGGACAAGTTTTTATTGCACAGAGTGTAATTTGCCTTCTGCAGCCTTCAGATGCATAATTTCACTGCTTTGCACTTTTTCAGGTTGAAAGTCATACCATTAGCTACCACTCAGTCTTCCAGACGCTTTAGATCTGTCTGCGACCTGTCTGAGTCCTTCGGACACTTTATTCCTCTCCTTATGTTTACGTCATCGGCGTAAGGAAGATACGGTCAGCTTAGACAACATGGTGGGTGACTGGTAAAAGTCAAAGACATCAGGGGTCCTAGGATAAAACCCTTCAACACTCCTGATGACGAGCCGAGCCAAGATTACCGGGCTTCACTGACCTTGATGCGAAATTTCCTTTCAGCTAGCTAGTCCTTCAACCATGACAGAAGTGGCTTACCTATACCTGCCTGACTTATTTTGTGTTGAACTGTGTTAAATGCCCTGTCAAAGTCTAGGAAGACCATATGGACCAAGACATTCATGTCCCAGCATGATGTCCGATCGTCCAAGCTGTTAGTAGGTTTGTTACACAGGATCTGCCTTTCTTGGAACCGAGTTGGGCCTTATGGAGTACATAGGCCTTATCAAGGTACTCCCCGATGTGATGGTCAATAATAGTTTCCAGTACTTTTGATGCCACTGGGAGTAGAGCTACTGGTCTACAACTAGTGGCGCTTCGCCTATCCCTCCCCTTGAAGATCGGAGAAAGGACGGTTCTTTTCCACTCCCTTTGAGATTTCCCTGAATTCGTCGAGCGTTGGAACAAGTTGTATCAGGGCCTACAGAGAGCTTCGGTGTACTGTTTCAGGACAGATGGCCTGATGTTGTCACAAGCTGGGGACTTCCAAGGTGCGAGTCTCTGTAGCTTCCTTAATACTATTGCCTGGTTTTTCTGCACAGCAGCCACTAGGTTTTCCCCAGGTGAAATGGTGGTGCCGCCTTTTTAATCCATACCACCTATACCCACATCGCTGATGAGCTGTGTGGCAAAGGCCAAGTTGAATGTATCAGCCATGCCCAGACAAGTGAGGCATTGAAAGTTAGATTCTGCTTAGGTGCCTGCCCCCCGGTTAGTTGGTTTTCCCACCGGCATGAATCGATACAGGTTTACGGGGTTTAGTGGGAGTATTTTGGCAGCGCTAGCCTGGAGTGACCTCCTGTCACTCTTGACGATCACTTTGCGCCGGTTCCTGAATTCCAGGTATGCGTCGTGTTCGATCTGACTGTCGGATCCTCGCCACGCTATCCAAGTCTTCCACCTTGCTTGCAGAATGTGTTGCATACCTCTCTTCAGCCATGTTGACTATTTTTTGGGCTATGCTGTGACCAAAGGGACGGTATTCGAAATTTTTGTGTGAATAACCTCTCGCACCACTTCCCAGTGTTCATCCGTAGATAACTCATCCCACGCTAAGGACCATTCTGTGTCGAACAAAAGCCTCCGCATTTCAGCTTAGTCCGCCTTGCTATAGCACAGACATGGGCGCGTAACGTCTCACTGCAAGTGATCACGGAGAACATGATGGAATCCTGTGACTGCATGATCACTACTTCCTAGAAGAGTCATGATCTGGACCATTTTGACGGGTGGTTGGTCACTAGTTAGAATGTAACCTAGTTTCGATAACTTTCCACTAGGACCCCACCTAGTGTAGTCCCCAACGTTCTAAGTCAGTCCCGTATTTCGAATGGACCGCAGTAGATTTCGACCTAATTTTCCATGAGCACACCGCGAGCCAAGATTCAGTGATGGGACACTGAAATCTCCAGCTATAGCGGTTTGGTCATAGCCAGTCCCGTATCCCTGTGATAGTGCTGAGCAGTAGATGGTTGTGCTCTGCCCCACAGGTAGGTGATCGATAGATCCCACTCAGTAAGTGCCTGGTGTGGCCTACGGTGGAATGACACCATATGGAGTCTAGAGGTTCAACAAGTGGTGGATCCGTTGCACGTACACATTTAAGTTGCTTGTCAAAGTATATGGCTACTCCTCCCTTCCTTATTATCCCCGTCTCTCCTGATCAGAACCACACCACCTATACTGATTTCGTTGTCGGAGATAATGAGGGTTGACCAGGTTTCAGTGACAATGATTATTTTAAGGTCTAGGAGTGACTGAAGGTTTCCGAGTTCGCCTACTTCATTAGAGTGTTAAAATCGATAATAGGCAGAAATGTAATAGCTTGAAAGGTCTCAGCTTAGATAAAAAAACTCTAGTCAACTCAAATAGCAGTAGTCCAAGCAAAAATACTCAGCACTGTCTCTGGAATACAGATTTCAGACTCAGATTTGTTGGATGAGGATTGTAAGCTTGGAGCCTATATTAATACTTCTCGTAAATTTCAGTGCTTGTTTAAACCCTTCTTTAGTGATCAGTTGAGGTTTCAGACGCCACTTCTTCTGGGAGTTTGTTCGAGGAATTTATGACCCAGTGTGAAAACCGGTATTCCACAGCAACATCGTTTCTCCTTGGCTTCTGAGCCCTCCTGTAATGTACTCCAAAATGTTCCGACCTGGTCGGAAGAAAGAGTGGGAATAGGTCAGGTCCGTAGTCATTATTTGGAATTTTTACCATTGTAATGAGGTCCCTCTGCCTACAGTACGCTAGGGTTAAGCGATTTAAACTGTCCTGTCTTTCCTCGAATGATAAATTAGTCAAGCCAGGAATCATAAATGTTGCCTCTGAACCCTTTCTAGAATATTTTCGCCCCTTTCAAGACGAGGACTGGCTGTCTGGATACAGTTTTCTAATCTTGACCTCACTAGAGATGTACATAAGGAGATGAACACATCTCTGGTGGTTCTATTAAAGGCTCTGCGGATTGCCTACGAGGATCCGAAACTAGGTGCAGCCACCGCACGACATTGTGCTATAGTTTTTAGGTCGTGACTTACTGAGACACGTAAATACGAATGAGTCCTAACTGATGGAAGTTTTATCTCCTCTAGTTCTTTGGGCTGATGTTTACGGGTCCGATGATCATGGTTTCACATTTCGTTACAGCGACAACTATCGTCCATTCTCGGAACACTAACAATTTGTTGAGGTCTTCTTGCACCGTGAGCGTATAACTGTCACTTTTCACCTCTCTCCAAATTTTTAATTAATCTCTGTTTAGGATTAAAGAAGAATCCGCGAGCATAGGTAACCCACTGATGTACAAAATATATAAGAGAGGCCCAACAACCGTGTCTTGTTGCACTCCTTTACGCACTGTTGTACAGGAGGAGAGTTTTTAGTTGATCCTTACCCTACGCTTCCTATCGATGAGGAATTCCTTAATCCAGCATAGTAAGCTGCCTTTGATACCAAGACTTCCCGACTTCATGATCAGTCCTTTGTGAGGAACACTATCGAAGGTCCTGCTAAGAAGACAACATCAGCGGGTCTTCTGTTTTCCCTTGAACTGGCCCAGCTTTCTCTTCCAGTGGGAAGATTTGACAGGCATGAAAGGTTTCCTCGGAAGCCGTCCTGTGCTCTGGATAACAAGTTGTTGTTCTCAGATATGCCATAATATTCTTCTTGATGATTATTTCCAGTATCTTGATTAAGGTGCTGGTGAGGCTAATAGGACTGCAGTTTGAAGGGCTTTTTCTTGATCCTCCTTAGTGGATAGGGGTTAATATGTCATCTTTCCATACCCGCGGTAACACTTTATTTAGGAGAGATAGCTTAAAGACGGTATTCTGGAATATTTTTATTTCTGGAACAGAAACCATCCATTTTTACAGGCATGAACATACGTACACTTATCAAAACTTACAGAATATATAATATGATTTGTTAATCTATAAACAAGTTGAAAACTGGTAAATGTTAGAGAAACATTTAAAATGAAGTGTACAAATAAGGAAATAGATATAGCGTCGAATCTAATGTGTCATTGAAAAAAATACGGCATGTCAATATCACGCGGGAATTATACATGATTGCGTTAGTTGAGCAAGGTAAGTAGCATTTCTATACAGGTGCTGACGTGATACATAACAGACGCAGGATAAACAATAATTATCAGCAAATGAT